AGGGGGAGGAGGGGAGGAGGAGGAGGAGGAGGAGGAGGAGGAGGAGGAGGAGGAGGAGGAGGAGGAGGAGGAGGAGGAGGAGGAGGAGTAGAGGGAGAGGGAGAAGAAGGGAGGAGTAGAGGAGGAGGAGGAGGAGGAGGAGGAGGAGGAGGAGGAGGTGGAGGAGGAGGAGGAGGAGGAGGAGGAGGAGAGATGGGGGGGGAGGGGGCGACGGCGAGAGGCATCAGCACGCGGGGCAGCGGCGGCGGCTCAGAAGCGGCGGCAGGCCCCGAGTTCTGGGCGCTGCAGTGATTTTGCACACCGGGCGCCCTCGGCGCCCGGGGCTTCCGGGCCCCGGGGGCCGCCACAGATCGGCCGGGCTCAGAAGGTGCCGCAGAAAGATGGGGCCTGGGGGGGCCAAGGGCTCGGGTCGTGATTGTTGGCGTTGCTGCGCTCTTTTCGCAGCGTCGGGCCACGGTGGAGGACTGAAGGCAAGAGCGGCCAGCGAGGCGGGCAAGGCGGGGAAGGCGCCGAGGGCGGGAGCGGCTGGGACTCCGGCCCGGCCTGGGCAAGGAGGAGGATTTGGGTGACAGCGCTCCGCTGCCAGCGAAACTCCAGAGCGCAAAAAGGTGCAGGGGTTGACAGGCAGTGCAAGATGATTGGCGCGACTGGGCAAGAATGAGGAGGAGGAGGAGGAGGAGGAGGAGGAATGAGAAGAGGTAGAGGAGGAGATAGATTGGAGGAGGAGAAGGAGGAGGAGGAGGAGGAGGAGGAGAAGGTAGAGACAGGAAGGGGCGGAGCACGAGGAGAGCTGGAGCGACGGCCCCGAGAGGCAGGGCGGGAGGCGAGCAGCGAGAGCCAGATGTGCCCTGGTCGGGCCTCGCCGGGCTGTGCCAGAGGGCCAGCAGCGGGGGGAGGGAGAGATCGAGAGCGCTGAAGGTGGGGGCGAGGGAGAAAGGAAGAGGAGGGCCAGAGAAGGATGCGGGAGAGTGAGAAACAGAAAGTGATAGAGAGAGGGAAGGTAAACAGAAAGAGAAAGAGAGAGAGAGACTAATCGATTGAGCAACAGGCGACTCGCTCGTCCAAAGAAATTCCTGAGATGCCCAGCCAACCTGAGACACACTTGCCCAACACTTCGTACGCATCCCAATCGCTGAATCCACTCCGGAGATCTGAAACTCACCCCTTTGCGCAACATCTGCCTCAAGTGCGTGCAAGCAAAAGATGGAGACAGGCAGGGAAAAGGCAGCGAGGGAGGACGGGAATGCAGAGGGAGCGGGAATAGAGGAACGAACAACTGTATAAACATACATGTCGGAGGTACGACATTTGTTGCCAACCCTCCTGCGTTGGGCTCTCGTTTTGAATAAAGCACTACGGTCGCGTCTCCTCCCACCTCCCGCCTCCCTCCTCTCCCCCCCTCCTACCTCACCGCGCCGTCCTGCCCGGGGGCTCACCGGGGGGCTGCGATCTGCGAAACTGTCGTCACTATCGAGGGCTGCTGGGAGGGTCCAACAAAGCGCCGCCCCACGCGGACCGAAATTACACCTCGCCATCCCTGGGGAGGGGGGCTGCGATCTGCAAAAATGTCTCCACTTTCGAAGGCTGCTAGGGGGTCCAGCGGAGCGCCGTCCCGCGCGGACCGAAGTTAGACCTCGCCATCTCTGGGGGGGGCTGCGGTTTGCGAAACTGTCGCCATTTTCGGATTCCAGGGGGTCCAGCGGGGTGACGTCCGACGCGGACACCTCTCCATCCGTGGGGGGGCTGTGATCTTCGAAACCGTCGCCAATGTCGAAAGCTGCTGGGGGGTCCAGCGGAGCGCCGTCCCGCGCGGACCGAAATTACACCTCGCCACTCCTTGCGGGCTGCGGTCTGCAACATTGTCGCCAATTTCGAGGGCTGCTCGAGGGGGTCCAGCGCGGCGACGTCCCACGCGGACCTACATTAGACCGCCAACACTGGGGGGCTGCGATCTGCGACACTGTCGCCTTTTTCGAAGGCTGCTGGGAGGTCCGGCAAAATCACGTCCCACACGGACCTAAATCAGACCTACTCCCCCTCTGGGGAGCTGCGATCTGCGAAACTGCCGCCACTTCCGAAGGCTGCTGAGCACCGTCCCACGCGAACTTAAATTATACCTCGCCATCCCTGGGGAGCTGCGATCTGCGAAAGTGTCGCCACTTTCGAGGGCTGCTGGGAGGGTCCAACAAAGCGCCGTCCCACGCGGACCTAAATTAGACCTCGCCATCCCTCGGGGCTGCGGTCTGCGAAGCTGTCGCCACTGTCGATGCCTGCTAGGGGGTTCAGCGGAGCGACGTCCGGCGCGGACTTGAATTAGACCTCGCCGTCACAGTAGGTCTGCGATCTTCGAAACTGTCGCCAATGCCGAAAGCTGCTAGGGGGTCCAACGAAGTGCCGTCCCAGGCGGACTTAAATTTGACCTCGCCATCCCCCTGGGGGGGGGGCTGCGATCTGCGACACCGTCGCCACTTTCGAAGGCTGCCACGGGGTCCAGCGGAGTGGCGTCGCACGCGGATTTCAATTTAGACTTCGCCACCCTTGGGGGGCTGCTAAGTTGCGATGCTGTCGCCACTTTCGGGTCACTGGGGGGGGGCTGCGGAGTGATGCCCCACGCGGGCGTAAATTGGACCTCGCCATCCCTGAGGGGCTGCGATGTGCTAAACTGTTGTTTTACGCGGACTGACGTCTTACGTGGATTCAAATTTGACCTAACCATCCTCAGGGGGGCTGCTAAGCTGCGACGCCGTCGCCACCTGGGGGGCCCAGCGAAGCGATGTCTTACGCGGACTCGAATTAAACCTCGCCGTCCCTGGGGGGGGGGCTGCGACACTCGAATCAGCCGCCACTTTTGAAGGCTGCTGGGGGTCCAGTGGAACGACGCCTCACGCGGACTCAGATTAAACCTCGCCGCCGCTGGGGGGCTGCGCATTGCGAACCTATCGCCGCTTTCGACGGCGTAACCAGGCTAGACATCGCTATCCGTGGGGGGGGCTGCGCAGTGCGAAGCTCTCGTCACTTTCTAAGGCTGCTGGGTTTTCCAGCACAGCGACGTCTTACGCTGACCCATACTCGACCTCACCATCCTCTGGGGGGCTGCGATCTGCGAAACTGTCGCCGCTTTCGAGGGCTGCCAGGGGGTCCAGCTGCGCGACGTCCTGCGCAACCTCGGACTAGCTCTCACCATCCCTGGGGGGTGCGATCTGCGAAGTTGTCGCCACATCCGAAGGCTGCTGGGGGAGGCCATCATATCGACGTCCTACGCGGACTCGTCTTGGACCTCATCATCCCTGGAATGTTGCGGACTGCGAAACCGTCGCCACTTTGTAGGGCTGCTGCCACGTGCCGCCTGAAGACTTGACGATTCGCCTGCGAGCGTTTAGCTCCCGCACTGCAGGGTGCAGGGAGGCAGCGGAGGACTTGGCGGGCGAGCTCGGCCTCGCTCGCTTCTTGTACTAGCGTAGAACAGCTGGTTGTTTGGAGTGCCAGGGCGACATGGCGCGGGTCGAATTGCTTGTCCAGCGTGCCAGTGACATGCGATCGCAATCCTCCTTTCTCATTCTGTCTCTTTCGTTGTCGTCTTCTTCCTCCTTCCACCGCTTAACTGGTTTAATCGCGGTAACGTTTCTGCCATTCTTCCGTCCTTTTCCTGCCCGTCGCTCTCGCCCCTCCATTTCCTCTGTGCTGTCCTGTGAGTCGTGCAACGCGCGCGCTTCCCATATTGCTTGCGCAACCAATGGCCAATTCTGTGTTGTCATCAGCCATGCTATTCCGGACCAACACCTCTTCTCACTTAATGCAGGTGGGTTGGGTACGTCGCAAAGTACTTGTTTATGTTTTCCCTCGAGGGTAGCGATCTTCCGCGAATGGGGAAGCACCCCTGCCGACTGATGGAGGAGGGCAGAGACGGCAAGGCGTTGCCAGCGACGCTCAGCGTCCTGCCCTCGAGGGCCACAAGAACAAACGCACACGCGAAAGCACAGAACGGGAAGAGGGAGAGAAAGAGAAAAGGGGAGAGAGGGAGACGGCAAGATAGGCGCGCTCGCGCCATACGTGACATCCGACTTATCCCATCCATCCCTTCCCACTGCGTTGTAGTATTTGGCATCCGCCGACTGGGGTGTCCTAGAGGACCCTGGTCCCCAAAATGACCCCATCGTATGCTGCGCAAGCAGAAAGGGGAGGGAAGGCTTTGTACCTTGGCACAGGAGGAGGAGGAGTAGGAGGAGTAGGAGGAGGAGGAGGAGGAGGAGGAGGGGGAGGAGGTGGCGGGGGAGGTAGCAAGCATAAGAATGAGCAGGAGGATGAGGCGGGAGGAGGAGGAGGAGGAGGAGGAGGAGGAGGAGGAGGAGGAGGAGGAGGAGGAGGATCAGCAGCAGCAGAAGCAGGAGTAGCAGCAGGAGCAGCAAGAGGACCAGGGCAAAGCGGAGGAGGGAGAAGATGGGGGCGGCATCGACGAGGCACGACCCAGCCTCGAACATGCGGCCCGCGCTGGGGCGAGGCGAGAGCGCCATTCTGAACGACGAGAGCAAACACCGATCCTGCCATGAGGCTATCGCTGAAGGGGGGGGGGGCCGACGACGCCCGATCGAAAAGCACGCTCCACGCATCAAAGGTCCAGATCCTGTGTGAAACACCACCGCGCGAGAGAGAGAGAGAGGCAAGAGCAACCGTGCACATGGCAAGGGGAGAGAGGCAAGCAGCACTCCGATCGAACGCTTGAGCGGTCGGAAACTTCTGCACGAGGCGTGCCGCGGCGGCGGCTCCCGGCGACCCGCCGCCCCCTTCCGAGCGGCTGGCGCGTCGCTCCCCATCCGTGGGGAGGGCGCCTGGGAAAGGCTCGGACCAGCGATGCCCGGGGGGCCCTGGGGCGTGGGGAACGGCGTGCCGCGCGCCGAAGCACCGGACCGCAGCAGGGGAGAAAGAGAGAGAGAGAGAGAGAAAGCCAGACAGAGACAGAGACAGAGACATAAAATAGAGAGAGAGAGAGGGCGGCTCGCGGCCTAGACATCGCAACATGGCGGAGTCGCCTCAGTGCTCTCCCTCTCTCGAGCCGCGTCGCACGGCGGCCACGGGCGCGCGACGGCAGACGGGAGGCGGGGGAGGGATGGGCGCCGGCAGAGGAAAAGGTGCGGGGCCTCGGGCGGTCGTTGCGCGGGGGGCAACATGGGCCCGAAAAGGGCGGCTCGGACTGGGACGTGTTCGTGTCCCCACTGGACGACGCCAACCGTGTACCCGACCAATGCGATACGCGCTCGCGCGCGTGGCAGCAGGTGCGGATGCGCGCATCAACCCGGCCCCGGTAAGAGAAGCCACAGGCCCACGAGCCAGATGCCACGGCAGCGCCGCGAGGCGTCCCAAAACCCTCTGGTCCTAGCCAGGCCCCCGACGTCGTGATCCGCCGGCCCCCTTGCGGGGCCACCAGGCTGCGAAGGTGAGGATTGCAGCTCCCTGTGACAGTTGCAGTTTCCAGTTTCCACTGTTACAATCCTGGTTTCTGCTTCCTTACTGTTAATTGTTGCTGAGCGCGCGAGGGGGGGAGCCCCAAACCGACTTTTCTGCCACGCCCAGATCGCGTTGTCTGAATTACTGGGGGGGCGTGGGACACGCAAAAATACATGATATTCGCATCCCCGAGGCCATAATCTTTAATGAGATACACCAGAACCGCGTCCCCGAGGCCATAAACCCTCTGGAATTTCTCAATATTCGCATCCTCGAAGCCAAATTTCCTTATAGATAACAAAATGTTCGCGTCCCCGAGGCCATAAACCCTCGGAATGTTCTCAAGATCCGCATCCCCGAAGCCATAATCCCTCGTAGATAGCACAATGCTGGCGTCCCCGAAGCCATAAGCCTTAGTACATTACACCATCTTCGCGTCCCCGAGGCCATCAACCCTTGCAAATATCGCAATATTCGCGCCCTCGAGGCCATCAGCCCACGTAAATTAACATCCGCCGCTCTGCGGTTGATCGGGAGTTTCTGTATATATATATATATATATAGAAGAAGGGGCGCGCGCTTCTGGGCGAGAGGGAAACGACCGAGAGAAGAAGGGGCGGCCGCCCCACAGGACCTCTCCATGGTGCCGGAAGCCCATCAGGGCTCCCTCAGGACCCCTCCCCCAGGGCCGGGGCTCCCTCGCCTGCCCCCTCCCCCTCCTCCTCCTCCTCCTCCTCCTCCTCCTCCTCCTCCTCCTCCTCCTCCTCCTCCTCCTCCTCCTCCTTCGCCCCCGTCGGCGTATCCAGGCGTGTTATGCAGTCAGGTCGTCCGTCCGGAAACGGTGCCGGAGGCCGCTCTGGGCTCCTCTGGGCATCCCCCCCGGGGCCCGTTTTGTGAGGATGTCTCAGGCGAGGGCGCCGGTTTGGGATTCGTCACCGGATCCAGCGGATCCAGCGGATCCGTCCGAAC